ACGCAAGCAATGACGCAAGATATGACGCACGCTATGACGCAATCAAGAGCTGGCCGCAAGAGGGGCCCCACAATGAAGGCATTAGAGGCTGAAAAGGTGCCAAAACGGGGTACAGGGCAGGGCAGGGGTAGGGGTAAGGGCAGAGCAGGCAGAGGGGCCCAGGGATAGAGCTATCTCTGCAACACCACGTTTTCTATTTCCATTTCCTAATTGGGAAGTAACTTCAACGTCAATATCAATGCAGATTTTGTACAGGAACGTCAATTCATTCAATTGGTTCTGATGGGCAAATTCACTAGTAATTTGTATGACGTAAAACCCGCCAAGACCCAAACGCCGAATGTACCGCTCGCCGAATGTACCGCTCTGAATGTACCTCCCCGAAGGCATTCCGGCGATCATCACCCTGGTAACTCGACGTATTCAGGTTTGGAAGGATGAAGGGTGAACGATTATCATAAGCATGTTACATGGAGAATCAGGCTACCATTGTTAGATAATATCTGGATCAAAGACTGGTCTGGGTAATCATGGCCGAATCGTGCGGTTTCATATCAAAAAAATCGCTTCATCACCCGTGGCCATTCATTCCACGTAGTGTTGAAGGTCGAGGCATTCATGTGACCATTATTTAGAAACGCGTCATTTTCTTACTCTCTAGTTAGCGAGAACTTGGAAGATATTTTACCAAAAAAACCCTGAATATAATTACCTTATGCTTGATTGATTGATTTTGTCTTACACCTATCGAGCTATATATGGAGCTCATGAGGGATGATATATGGAACATGAAGTAGGAAACCTCTCCGGCGAATAAAAACTTGCCACCCCGTGTTGATCCGCGAGGTTTCGCTTTGTACCGCGTAGTTGTGGCTCTGTGCGGGTCATTGCGAGTGATCACGTGAGGGTATGACTGAATCATTTTCCTATCCACCACTCTGTCGTAAAATGCACTCTTTTTCTAATTGGTCAAAGTAACCGCTAGCGTCTACTCAAAACGACATAAGATTTGAATGGACGGATATAACTTGATAGCGGCTGTTTAAGGTGCGCTTATAGCGCGGCAGCGGCTGCAGAAACCAATTAGAAAAAAGAGTGCATTTTATGACAGAGTGGTGGATAGTGATTTATCGTGTTCTGTCACACCCAAACTCAGCGAGCTGTGAGACTATTCCGCCATACAGAGAGTAGGCTTCAAGCTGCTGCACCACCAAACCGTAAAAGGGGTTACTTCTATGTATTTTGGCTTAGCTCTCTGCGAGTAACCGTAAGTCACCCTCACCTCCCCTCAAGTCGCAAATCCGAGTTCAGGGCTGGGACTTTTGTCCGATAGAGTTCTCTTCTCCGCTAGCTGTACACTCCAGACCAGTATTGGCACTCGACTGAGCTTCGCCATGTGGATTTTTACCGCGGGTATTCGTAGCGTATCGCACACGTTCGCGTCTGCTCGTAATGAAACGGTCTTCGTTTGGGCATCGCTCGATTTTGGATGATGGATTGTGGCCAATATTGGTCGTAGTTGTCCATGAGGTCACGGCTGACTCGCCCGTCTGTACGCGTTTCTTCGGTCGGCAATTTTTGTGACGGCTTGTACAAGGTCGTAAGAGGTTGATTAGGGTGGTTTGCACATTTCTCCATTCAAATATTATAGCTTCTGTTTGAGGTCCTACATTCCTCGTAAGGGGTCACAAAGCTTGAGGAGGGTGAGATAAATTACCTGTAAGAGTGAGATGAGCACCAAGAGCAGCTATCTTGGGCTCGTGCAAATCGCAAAGCGTGACCGTGACCATGACCGTGACCGTGACCGTGATGTTAAGCTCAAAGCTGCATCATCAGTCTTCCTAAGCTCTCTCATTGGACCTTGAGTATAAATCTCTGCCAGCTATAAGCACACCGTAGGCGTGAAAGTCACCTCACATTTAACCATCCAGCTACCACTGGCATATACTGTCCTTGTTCAGAGACCGAGTAGAGCACCACGAATATGCTCTCCCAACTGCGCTTTCCATAAACGTGTCTCGTTACACATGTACAGTGTGCCTGTCTCTCCAAAGCAGAAATTTGCTACGCCACCTTCGATGAGAATCTTGCCAATGAGCACTCCTCCTGGATTCCATATATTGACGCCGTCACCGCAGCCACTGTAGACGTTTCCGCTGGTGTCGCATTTGATGCCATCCGGACACCCAGATGCTACAAATGCAAAAAGACGTCGATTTACAAGAAACGGTCCTAGATTACAGATGTAAGCTGAAGCTGACCGAGAGAGATTGGAATTCCAGCACCTACCGTGATTTGTTTCCAGGATATCGAAAGCGTAAATACTGGACTTACCTGTCTGGTCAAACGGTACATCCTCAGCACCACTAACAGCTCCTGTGTCTGTCACATACAGTTGTTTCAGATCCGGAGAAAAGCAAAGTCCATTCGGTCGAATGAAATCGTCAGCCATTGCGCGGATGCTGTCCTCATCGGGATGAAATCGGTATACCTGACAAGGTAATTCTGGTTGAGGCCGTATTCCCTGATGGTAGCCATAGCAGGGGTCCGTGAACCAGATTGAACCATCACGACGATGCACTATCACATCGTTGACCGAATTAAATGCTTTGCCATGAAAAGATGAGATCAAGTATTGGGTGCTATAAGGAGGTTCCGTGTTGGGAACGTAGACTAGACCACTAGGTGGAAAATTCGATTTGTTGCCCTGGGCGCAAAACAGCAAGCCTGACTTGTAATTAATACCCCCGTTGGGCATAACAAGATCTTGTGGCGTAACATCAACAGATACAACCTTGGTAAGATCGTCCTGGTCGTAGACTCGAGTCACGACGATCTTCTTGTTGGAAGTCAAATCGTCTGTTTGACCATTGGGAAGAGGTATTTGATTGGATGTTACAAAGACGGATTTGGTAGCGGCATGGTATATGCATGCTTCGTGGAAAGTAGCAAGGCCATCGACATCTTCTTTGAGAAGGACTATGCTGGGAAACGAGCCGACGATGGATTGGAAACTGCTGTGATGGGATACAAATGAGACAGCATCAGATTTGCTGTTCTTTGTCATCGTGTAAGCGTAGGTTGAAAATGATTCTAGAGGGCCAGGAATCCTGGGAATCTTGGACCGATTTTAGTATGTTTTCCAAGATGTCGGAAGGATCGGTTCAGTTGGCTATTGCTGTAGGAAGCAACTGAAAGCTCGAAAGGTATGGCGAACAAAGTTTTCGTAGTTCTGACCAGGCATGGATTTCTCTGGGACGATAAATAATGCCGGGAGTATCAGCACTTCCTGCTTCGAAAATGGGGCTATCCGTATGGTGACATTGGCTCTTTCAACAAGCCATCCCTTGTTTCTCAACATCTACCTCGATATGAGCCGGACTGTGATGGGCTTAGACGCAGGCGCAGCATCTACATAGGTAACAATCTTAAATGTCTAGACTAGCGAACATTTGAATCTGGAAAAGGCCTGGAGGGATCTGTAACATGGAGCTTCACAGCCGGCTGAGACAGGGTTGATGCTCTCCTTCAGCCTGTTAATAGTATATAATTACTCTTCACTTGTTGTATTTAGTTGTCGAGGTGGCTCATTGTGAGGACCTCCGGACTTCCTGCAAGAGCGTGTTTGGTTGAAACCATCACATGCTAGTGCTGCGGATGGCTACCGTATTAGTTTAAGTCCGATTGGTCCTCGCGCCTTCCCCGCACAAGTCACACACTCGCCGTTGCCTAGTTATGTAATGCATTGATCCGAAAATGCAAGCTGGTCATCTTGCATACACAAAGGCGGAAATGTAATCGTCTCACTCCCATACTCTCTCTGCGCTTTTCTCTATTTTCAATTTGAATTTTCGCTTCTTTTTACAGTATACATAGCATGTACATGCACCGATAGCCTCTGTGCTGGTCATGGCGCCGCTTTTTCGAGCTCTTCTTGTTTCCTTGAGCTTGTGCAACTGTGCCCTCACTGTACCCACCGATCACCAAGACGCATTGCATACCCTTTTGAACCAGGCTCCACACACCTCTCATCGTTCACAAAGGCCCCTTCACCCCTGGACACGATTACGCGACGCCATCATACACAAGATATGGGGGCCTGCACCCACGACCGTGAATCATTCACCATACCTCGCGCGGCAGTCCTCCACCCCATCGATTCCATCGACGTTACGCACCCGTTATGGTGGTGACATGGTACTGAGGTTCAGAGTCAAGACTGCAGAAGAGGCAAGAGCCCTAGCTGAGGCAGCAGACACTCTCTACCTGGACATTTGGGAGTTTGCGGACGACTGGGTGGATATCAGAATGGCCAAAGATGTGGTCGAACCTCTTCTTGGACTGCTCCCACCTTCATTGCACAATGCTCACTCTCCTCTCATGCCCGATCTTGCCCAAGCGATCTTCGAATCTTATCCGTCTGCATCCATTGGCCAACACGCTTCGATACCGTTCAACGACCACCAAGGCTTCACCTCGTCATTGAACCGCGAAAGTGCTAATGACGGAAAAGAACTGTTCTTCAAGGACTACCAGCCTCTTTCTGTCATAAGGCCATGGATGCGGCTCATGGCTTCGCTGTTTCCTACGCATGTCCAGATGATCTCAGTGGGCGTCAGTTATGAAGGTCGTGATATACCTGCATTCCGGATAGGAGTCCGTCAAGCCAACGATACCATGTCCGCACAACCCCGGCACACCATCTTGATCACAGGAGGATCTCATGCCCGTGAATGGATATCGACTGCCGCGACAAGCTATCTGGCCTATTCCCTCATCACACGCTATGGGAGATTCCCAGGTGTTACTAAACTTGTCGACGAGTTTGACTGGGTCTTGGTCCCCACTATCAATCCCGATGGTTATGAATACACGTGGGACCACGATAGGCTCTGGCGTAAGAACAGGCAACAGACAAGCATTCGGTTTTGCCCCGGCGTCGACCTTGACCGTGCATTCGGTTACCAATGGGATGGAGATTCCCAAAGGAGTAATCCCTGCTCCGAGAGCTATGCAGGTGATGGCCCGTTCGAGGGGTTTGAAGCTCATCAATTCGCAACCTGGGCCAAATATGAGACAGAACACAACAATATTCGATTTGCAGCTTTCCTCGATCTGCATTCTTACTCACAGAAGATTCTGTATCCGTATTCGTATTCCTGTGAGCAGGATCCGCCGACGCTGGAGAACTTGGAGGAACTAGCCATTGGTATGGCCAAAGCAATCCGACTAACACACAGTCAAGCGTATGGCGTGACGTCCGCCTGCGAAGGTCATACAGCCGCTTTTCATGGAACTGCCGACGAGGTGTGGCCACGGATGGAGCTCAACGGTGGCAGTGCGCTGGACTGGTTCTATCATGAGCTTAAGGTCAAGTACGCTTATCAACTCAAGCTAAGAGACACAGGCAGCTATGGATTTCTTCTTCCCCATAGCGACATTTTGCCTACCAGCCAGGAGACCTTCAACGCAGTACTGGACCTGGGAAAGTTTCTGCTGAGCAATAAAGGCATTGAACTTGCAGCAGATGCAGACTGGAGCTCGGAGTATATTCCACCTCGGCCACAGGGAGAGCAATCGCAACAGGACCAGGTGCTATACCCACCGGATTCCAAACAGGAAGTCGTTGACGAAAACGACAGTAATGGTGAATTCAATGTGGAACTTCGTCGCCGGCGCAGGAAGTGAGCTCTGCTGGGGCGTGGATATCCGGTCGCTCCTCAAGTGTATCATGCCTTCTCGTACAGTGAGCAGAGCAAGGCGTTCGGAAATTTGGTATGGTGTGGCTTCGTCCAACTATCTATCACATGCTTTGGTCAAGGACAAAACATTAGTGCATACTTTAGGTTTTGTATAAATATTACATATGGAGAGTTCTGCACTCCATTTGAAGTTGTGCAAGGCTGCTCAATCTGTTCCGCTACGCCAGTATCCTGTACCTCGACTAAGCTGAAGCATGTAAACTCACGTTGGTGGTCTTCACTAGAAGGCTAGCAGGCTCTAAAGCTGGGTTTAGGCTGTTTCGTAATTATCTTTTGCTTCAATGTTGTCATATAGCTGAGACGTCTTCCTATTTTGATGTAGAGTCTGCAAGAAAACAATTCGCTGTACTTAATCCAACCCAAACATATCTTGATAACGCTAGGGAAGCCAGGTGCTAGAGGCGGTCACTACTTCGTAGGACCCTCCGAAAATCTCGAGTAGATGCAGTTGAGTTTGATTGACAGACTGGAGCAACAACGTAGGCAAAAGGTAGCAAAGCAGGTGCCGCATAGGTGAATGCCGGCCCCGATGGGTCGTCTTCAGCTCTTCGACTACCCAGCTCTTCCGTAATCTCTCCATATCGCCTAACTTCCCGTGAGGATCGGAGATAGTAGTCTTTAAGCTCGATGGTGAAGCCAACATCGCCTCCTGGGTGCAATTGGCTGAGTAGAAGGGTCTTACCGTGAAATCGTGGATTGCTACCAGTCGCACAAATCCCGTACTGGACCTAAGTCAGCTCCAGAAGCTTCTCAACCCGAATACATGGCTTGCCACAAGTTGCACGCACTCATCGAATGTCTTAGGAACCAGTTCGAACACAAGGCCATTGCTCAATGGTACACACCATTCCTGATGCTCTACTTTGTGTGGGTGGTGTGGCTTAGGTTCCGCACTGGCCTCTTACATGAAAGACCTCGAAGTGGATTTCTACTGTTTCAGCTGGTACAAGGTCTATGGTCCTCATATTGCGATGATGTGCGGCAGCAGAGACGCCCAGAGTCGTTGGGGTTATTACTTCAAACCTCGTAATTCACTAAAAGACAAGCTGGGGCTTGCAGGAGCAAATCACAAATGCGTACGGAGCATACTACAAACTGTTGAGTAACTGGAGGAGTAAGCATGGCAAGAAATCGTTGACCATGAGGAGCGGCTCCAAAAGCGGCTCTTGAAGTACCTCCATGGTACAGATGGTATCCAAACCTACGGAGTTCCTCACCTGGATCCACAGGCATGCATCTCTGTAATATCGTTCACGGTTGCCAGAAGGACTTCACGTAGTGTTCTTGAGGCTTTCGAGAAAAGTACAGATGGTAATGTTGGCTTGAGAAGTGGACAATTACATTCCAAGCGATTGATCAACGACATGATAAATCTGGAGGGCGATGATGGTGTGGTCAGGGTTAGCATGGTCCATTGCAATATATGTAAGATAGTAATAAGGAACACGCAAAATAGAATATTGTTGATCAATGGGCTGAAAGACACGTGAAAGATGGCCACATAAAATGTGAAGCCTAGGCAGGAACCGGAGCTAAAAACACTAGACAGCCATCTTAGTCTCAATACGGAAAAATGTAAACACCAAATCTAGCAATTGGAGATCTACCCATTGTTCAATGTGAATACAATATTCACTGCTACCGCAGCATCAACTGATCGGCGCATGACCTTTGTTTTGTTTGAGGCTGAACAGCTGCTGGATAGCCTGCTGTTGAGGGCAAGCCGTCGATCTCTTCACAACCAGTTCTCTGTTCTCACAATGGATCACAATGAAAATGCAGTACGTGAAAGCATTATATTATCCCACCACCGAAGTCTGCACTTGATGGTCACTAACAGCTAATCAGTTTGTCTCTCAAATACCCCAACTGAGCCGCCATATTTCACCCGACAAAGGGCTCAACGAGATGTCTGCATCTACGACTAATGCTCGGAACGCTGGCACAATGCCACCTCCTTCCACTGTTCGCAAGCATGCTCATTCTAGTTGTACGTGCCACCAGGCCTGGGAGATATTGCTTTGATAACTGGTGGCTAGTTCCTGAGCCGCCGTCGAAGAGGAGGACAGGTACAGAGACAGCAGGAGAACCCATCAAGAAGAACGCCCGAGCACCGCCTTCCTCCAGAACGGTCGACCCTGCCGCCAGAGCGACGGCAAATGCAGGACTGGGCCGCAACTCATCGGTATCTTCCATGTTCTCGTCTCGGCCGACTTCGGCGTCCTCGAGAAATACCTCCAACAGTTCCTTCTCGAGCAGTGTAGGCGCAGGCGGACGCCCACAGTCCCTTCAAAGCCACAACCGACTGAAGACCTCTTATGCGCATAACCGTACATCATCACGGACTGGCCCAACGAGGCCAGCTACATCACTGGCAATGCATGATGAGTCACAGGAGTGTGCCAAACCTCAAGGTATGTCAGTCCACGTGACTCCTTCCATGGATTCATTGCGTCCGAGCAAGACACGAGGTCCATTTCTCGAACCTTCAACCCCTCAGAAGGCTCTTTCAAATGGTTGTCCCATCTCCACGGGCAGGCCCCATGAAATTCGCGATGCATCCCTCTCCACTGCTATGCAAGGCCTTTCTATTAGGTCTGGCTCTGGAGATGAGCTTCCCAGGGAGCAGAGTCCAAGCAGATTACCTCGTCCTGTTACCCCTGTTCCCAAGCCTCCCCTGTCATCTCCTTTTCCATTAAATACGTCCAGACCGCGCAAACCTCCCCCAAAGTTTGATAAATTTCTGACCAGAGATTCCAACACCAAAGCATGGGATACCCAGGAGCAATACGATAATTTCGAGCGCATGTGGAGCGATATGTACATGAAGCTGAATCAGACAGTCAGTGACACAGCGGATATGAAGGAATCAATCAACATCTATAAGTCGACAAGTACGTCTTACCCTAAGATCCGAGAGGCTGTTCTCGCCTTATCCATCTCTGGCGTAGATGACAAAATGGTGGCCCAGTTGACGTATCTTTTTGTGTCCCTAGTTACCGAGTTGGAAAAGGCCCGTGCCGAACTTACTGAGAACAATACGTGTCTACGTAGCGAACTCGAGACTGCGAAATACCGAATATCAGAGGCCGACCGGATACGGGAGACGATAGCGCGGGATCAAGAGATCGAACTGGATGACCTCGGTCGACAACATCGAGTCGAGCTTGAGAATGTCAAGCAAGATGCAAGACAAGATATTGAACAGATCAAGAACGACCATAGGGAGGAACTCAGAGATGTCAAAAGAAGGCTGGAGGATGAGCTAGAGCAAGAGCGTTCACAACGAATCCGTGCTGTCAGTCAACTGTCAACGCAGGGTGCACTTGACAAACAACGACAACAGCTGGAAGTTGATGCTAAAGACCAGGAAATCAGGGTGGCCAGAGCAGAAACCGAGCGGCTTGTAGCAGACCTTGAACGGGAGCGAGCACTCAACGTCGATCTGCGACAGAATCTTGCAACCGCTTCAGCCAATGCAGTGACGATGGAAGCGTCAAGACAAGCACTTCAAGCAAAGGTTGAGTACCTAGAATCTGACAGCAAATCACAGTCAGAAGCATATGCGAATATGGAACGGCAGATGCGGGAAGCGATTGAACAAGCCCAAGAATTACAGGGGAAGCTGCGGAGAGAAGAGACACTGAGGCGGAAACTGCATAATCAGGTCCAAGAACTCAAGGGGAACATCCGTGTCTTTTGCAGGGTACGACCGAATCTGAGCATGGACGCTGCTGATGAGCAGGCCAAGATTGCTTTCCCTGACGATGGAGAAGATGCCAAAGAGATCGAAGTGCGAGGAGCAGAAGAAACGAGTAGTCTAGGAACGGTCACGACCAAGAAGTATCCGTTCGCTTTCGATCGGGTTTTTGGCCCGAAGTCTCAGAATCAGCAGGTTTTTGAGGAAATCAGCCAGCTCATTCAGAGTGCCCTCGATGGGTACAATGTTTGCATCTTCTGTTATGGACAGACTGGCTCAGGAAAGACATATACCATGTCCTCGCAGGACGGGATGATACCACGAGCCGTCCACATGATCTATGACACTGCGCAGGGTCTCGAAGAGAGGGGCTGGCAGTATAAAATGGAAGGAAGCTTTGTGGAAGTATACAACGAGAATCTGAACGACCTTCTCGGACCACCGGATGACTTTGACAAAAAGAAACATGAAATACGACATGACATGCAGACATGCAAGACGACAATCACGGACATCACATCCGTTGACCTCGACTCGCCCGAGAAAGTAGAAGAAATCCTTGCCCAAGCCATGAGCAACCGCTCCGTTGCCGCAACCAAAGCGAACGAGCGCTCTTCGCGCTCCCACTCGGTCTTCATCCTTAAACTGTCCGGCCACAACAGTATCACCGGCGAAAGAAGCGAGGGTACACTGAACCTCGTCGACCTAGCGGGAAGCGAGCGTCTCAGCCAGAGCAAAGTCGAGGGAGCGCGATTGAAGGAGACGCAAAACATCAATCGCAGCCTCAGCTGTCTGGGCGATGTTATCGGTGCGCTCGGCCAGGGCAAAGATGGAGGACATATCCCGTATCGAAACAGCAAGCTCACTTATCTGCTGCAATTTTCATTGGGTGGGAACAGTAAGACACTGATGTTCTGTATGATCAGTCCGTTGCAGGCGCATTTGGCGGAGACGTTGACGAGTTTGCGGTTTGCTACAAAGGTATGTCTTATAAGTGGACGGAACGCTAGTGCATACGTACGTATGGCTGACAGACTGACAGGTTCACAATACGCATATTGGGACAGCGAAGAAGCATTCGAAATCTTGAACTTGTTTTTGAGGTGGGCGGAACTTGTTTGGGAGGATGGGAACCTTGTTTGCTGATGTCTTTAACGATGAAAGGATGCTGTTGTATATCATAGCAGGTAGTTGGACGGAAAAGCTCTATTAGCGAGGCAATCAAATTGGGTTTCCCCCCCACACTGTGCAGGTATAAGGGGTTGCCCCTTTATTATTTCCGCTTCTCCTGCCACTTTTCCTGTGCAGGACAAATATCTGAATATGTGATACATTATTAGCACAAGGACATCTCGACATTTCTAACTCACATCTTAAGCCTTAAGCATTATGTTATATCTCTAGTACTAGTCATTAATCCGCAGTACTCCTCATCCCAAGCAGGTTCAACGACCTATTCCTTACTTGTACATATGTGTCATGTCCGATCAACAGCCACGAATCCAGGAATCCTAGATACCAACTGATGTCCAAATCTGTGCAGCCTTGCCCAAGTAGGATGTCACTAAGTCTGACCAGGACAACGCAAGTCTCCCTGCTTGCCTGAGGTGGCTCCCGTCCCGCTCTTCGCGTTTTGAATCAAGACAAGCATAACGGACTCTGTATACCAATGCACAAAAAGCCCCCAATCCCAAACATAGCAGTAAACCCGACCGCCACCCACCCAACCACAAAACTATAAGCCATAACCACCAACCCCATCACCGCAAACGCCGCAATCACCAATCCATACAGCACCAAACACGTCAGCGTCGCATAATACTGCAACACCCTCTTCCTCCTCGGATCGTCCCCATCCCAATCCCTGACTGCGTGTCCCTGAAAGAAATTCAGGAGCGTCGACGCCAGACTGGCAAAAGCCAAGGCCAGCAGGAAAAGCAGCCAGCTGATGGACAGGTAGACTTGGATCTGGGGCTTGCTCCACATGAACTTGGGCTCCTTGATGTCGGAGAGGATGAAGTTGAACGAGACGGAGGCGCCGAGGGTGGAGAGGGCGATGACGATCTGGAAGAAGGCTTTGAACCAGGATGAGACGGAAATGCCGCTGTGCTTCGTTATGGGTTTGATGCGTGGGAGGCAGGAATCCTTGTTGTGCGAGGCGATGGAGGCCTTGCTGGAGGTTGTGGTTCGCGGGTGAGGGTTGGGGTGAGGGTAGTGCTGGTAGATGGTTTGGGCTGGGGTGGGTTTGGAGAGGGCGGGTTCGGATGAGAAGGACATCTTTAGGGTTACAGTATTGTTGAAAAGGGGGTGAGAGCGGAGATTAAAGGAGAGGATGGAATGAGAAGAAGGGAAAGTAGGAAAAGCAGCTCCATGGGCGTTGGCAAGCAGACTTGCTCTTTCTTACCTTAGTAAGGTACTGTGCGAGGGGAGAAACCAGTATCTCCTTTGCAACCCGTGATAGAGGTCATGAGATTATGGATCAGAATTATGCCTGATTCTTTGGTGCTTCTGCAGTAAGACGTAGGTGAAGTACAGTGAGACGCTATAGGCACCTGCCTGATAAGTACGCTTGTTTGAATGACTCCTGTAATTTGTTGTGGACCTCTGTAGGGAGGTCAGCCAGTGGTGTTGCAGGCCTGAGATCAAGATTGGTCACGCCTGCAGCGTCCGAGCTCTGCCTGCTCTTCCTGCTTTCCAGGTAGTACTGTAAACTCGCGCACGCAGTATGTTCTCAACACGATGACGCGACCTCACATCGCCGATGGATTTTGTGAGTCTGAGTGAACGCGTGACAGAAGCGAGGCGGATGACTGACTCGTTTGACTTGACTGACAGTGGTCCCGAATCATCGGCGGAACTGGATCCTCCCCAAACAAACCCCGTCCCACCAATACACCCGCGGAACGTCTTGCGGCTTTCAAAAGAACCTGTAATGCCTTGCAGGTATGGCCCCTCTGGGACAGCGGTACACTACGATCCTGATTACTTGCTCAGCAAACATGGCGAACGTCAAGTCCACTCGCCTCAAACGAAAGTGCGGCGGATCAATGCCGCAATTGCTTGCAGCGCCTGAACAGTCTGCTGGATGAGGAATCCAAGAAGACAGCACCCTACTCCTGCCTTGTCTATGCCGCATCCACCCAGCTCTACATCATTGTCACCAAGCTTGCCCTGTCTTCGCAAGATTCGGAAGTCATCAACGAAGCAGCTCGCTTCTTCCATATATTGATCGATGGCGAGGTCGAAGGAGTACTGGACAGCAAGCTGTTTGCTAGGTCGTTGGTCGACCTGGTGAAGAGGACGATAGGCACCAAGATCATCACATTGAGTGAGCAAGAAGAGGGTGACTTGGTCGAGCTCTTGTTTGGGATAACAACGAAGATCCGGCTAGATCCTGAAATGCTTCCGGCATGGTTCTACCCTTCACACAGTCCCGAGACTATTGAACGACTTGCCACGAAAGACGCTGAGTTTGCCGGTGCTACAAGGAGGACCGACTTTCCTCTCTTCTACCTCCTCATCGATTACGTTCACCACGATGGGAGAACAGGGGATTTTGCCCGCACTGGCCTGCTCTATCTTACCGATACGGCCTCAAAATCGAAAGAGCTGGAGAGGTGGATGATTGAAAGCGATCTTGCTACGCTGATGGCTAGCGGACTGGGAGCGTTGTACAGTCGATTAAGCCGGAGGTTGCCTTCGATCATGGATAGAGAAGAGCTACCACCAATATTGGCGCTTTCAGACCACACGTCTGGCTCAGATGACACGGGCATTCCGACAGAGAATTTTCGACAGGATATGGATGCATTTCTTTCGTATCTACTTTTTTGGCAGGATACTCTCAACCATTGCCAGTCTGTCGAGGTCAAAGATACTCTACTTGACCACTTCCAAGTATTGTTCCTTCAACAACTACTTTATCCATCTCTTTTGGAGTCATCCGACATAAATGGAGGTTCAACTGCATCCGTCGTCATCTATTTATACCAAATCCTGGAGTGTTTGGAAAATCCAGATCTGGTAGGTCGGATTCTCAAATATCTGCTTGCTTCCAAAGATCAGGCCATTAATCGCGCGGAATCACGAAAGCAGAGAATGTCTTTCAGCCGCCGAAAATCGCTGGACGCATTGACGGCTTTGGAACAGGGGCGAGACAATCCTTCGCCCGATCTATTCAACCTTTTGGATCTGGTCATGATGAGCTTGAAGTCAAAACATCCACAAACTGTTACTGCTGCCTTAAAACTCGTGTCCGTTACCCAGCAACGCCATCATCATTATGCTTGGGCCTCGCTCATCCACACTCGGGAGGAAGACCCTAACTTGCCGTTGCGAAAATTGTCCGAGCTGAATGCTCATTTGCAAGGTCTGATGACTCTGCCGCTAATCATCTTGAACGACGGACGTCTCGATCAATCCTATAGTGAAATCTTGAAAGACGTGCTCAGCTCGCTGGAGACTCACAGCTGTTCGGCACAGTCGGCTCAAAAAGAGACTCTTGATGAATATCAGGGGACGTATATGTTGATTTTGGAGGATGGCGTACTTATGAACCAGATCGAGGTTCTGCTCACCTCCTTTTTTGCAAATGACACCATGACGAATCTGGCCCTGACCGAGGCAATCATGTGTATAGCTTCTTGTAGATTGACGCGTCTAGATGGCTGGCTTTTACCTCGACCATTTCAGGACGGCAAACCCACAATCACCTCGATCCTCGAAGGATTGATCGATCAAGTTCGTCAGTGGAAGCATCAAACACCAGGATGGGACAGTCTGATTGCTTCCCAAAAGAGCAACCTGAACGATCAGGACATGGAAGATGCCGATGCCCCATCATTGCCAGCTAGCTTACGGCTTTCAACAGATGTGGGCCGTTCTTCTCCAGCACCCACTCCAACCCGCCAGTCGATCGAGGTCTCAAGTCAGCCGGCGACAAGTCGTGGACGTCGGTCTCCTCGAACACTACATTCTGAAGGTTTCGGCTCCATTGATGGATCAGTCGCATCTTCACCCAGTCCAATGAACCGCCTGCAAAGACCTCCTTACCTTGATTCACCACTACGACAGAGTCTGTTCCTGCCACCATCTGGTTCCTCACCAACAAGCCAAGCAACATCCCGCAGTGCTTCCAACACACTTGATCTACTACAGACTCGCCTCGCAATACCAACCCCCTACCCTGTCACCTCGGCTCAGCAATCTAAATCTATCTTCCTCGACCGCGCCCTGAAAGACCACGACTCGGTCACTAGTGAAGACGCCAGTGCCTCCGGTATTGGCACGCCGAGCGAACAGGGTAGTTATGATCGTGTTGGTGAGCGTGGTGATGACAATTCAATGACAACACCCACTGTCAGTCTGGGTCATGTACTTGTCAATGCCATTATCCTGCAGGAATTTATCCTGGAGATTGCGGCGGTGGTGCAGCTGAGGGCGTGTCTGTGGGGGGAGGTTGAAGTCTAAATCAAAATATAGGGAGGAAAGGAGGAGAAGAAGAAAGAGGAATGCTAGATGGAGCGGAGGCCTAGGGGCAGGAATTGGGTAGAGAAAATATTGGAATGGAGAGAGTGGACACGAGGCTCTCTCATGTTATACTGAGAGAAGGATGGGAATATGAGTATCTCGTGGATAACGGATGATGGATGATGCAGAGATACCAACAAAAAACAGACCCGCCCTCACACATTTCTGTTCCATCTACGTTACCCTTCTGCTTTTCTTGTCTCCTCTTTTCCCTCCCTCTCTCCCTCTCTACTCTCTCAGTACGCTCTGAGCTCAAGAGTTGAGGTGTACTCTAGACTGACTGGATCCACAGATACAGGCAAATACATGTAAATGTTGAAGGTGGATGGGTAATGCATTACTGAGATGAGATCGATTGTTCTGGTAAGGGGGGGGGGGAATACGAGTCTGTCCAGTATTTCCCCGTCTCCCCAGAAGGAAAAAAGAGAATGATTGTTGCGCAATAGAAGAAAAGCCATCCCGGCGCCGGTTAAGTCAGATAGCTAGGGATCCTGGATCCTTCTCGTGCCCCGTGTGTGAATTCAGTCATGTCCAATCAAACTTAGCTTACACGGCACCGTCTCCCGGTCCGCTGTTTGCCATCGCAACAGCAAACAAGATCGGAAAAAGTCCTCTTCAGAGCATTCCCCATCCCCAGACGACCTCCATGGCCCCGATCGCCATCAAGGCCTTGACCTCCACTTCCACCCAGCCGCCTCCACCTGCCCAGCGTTCCAACACCGGCCCAACCCTTGAACTCGCTCCATTCGTCGGCGTGCTCTGCAATCCGGGACTCGTCGTCGCAGCGCTACCGTCTCCATGGCCCTGCGAAGCAGATTCGTTGGTGCTGGTGCTGGTGATGGTGCGAGAGCAGCTGGCTTTGAACGAGCCGATGTGTTCCTCCGGCCCGAGGAAGTAGCAGAGAGAGTCGGTGCTGGTCAGGGCTTCGGAGGTGGGCATGCTGCAGGTGGTGTCGAGGTAGGCGGTAACTTTTGGACTGGATGTTAGTGGCTTGAATGCTTTTTTTTCTCTGGGAACGGATTGCTGGGTGCTATACAGGGGCAGAGCATGATTCCACTTGGGCTGGGGGTTCGATTGGAGGAGTGCTGTGATACGGAGTACCAAGAAAGGGCGTACGGACAAGGGGGGCTTACTAGAGCATCCATCCTCGATCTCGGCAATGTCCAAGGCGATGGTGTTGATTGGTGGATTGTAGCAGATGCCTGAACCGGCTACGAGATTGCTGCTGGTGAAGTTATCGCCTGCGCTGGGGCTATCGGATGCGCAAGAGTTTTTATGGTAGAAGGAGATTATTGTTGTTGTTGCGGAGGCGGAGACGAGGAGAGATAACAAGAGGAGAGGTGAGCTTAAAAGTCGGGCCATATCCGGGTGTAGACAGCAGCATCTGCTGTTGAGGAAACCTTTGCGTGCGGCAGATGGACACGGTGGCATGCATGTTTAAGAAGTTTTGATAAGTCTAAGATGTTCTCAAGCAGATCCTGCTCGCGATTGACTGCATTCCTCGTTGGCGGAGTGGCGGATTGCGCGATCGCTGCATTCCAGTCAAAAACAAAGCATTCTGGCATTGTGGGCGATATTGCGTTTTCTGATGCACCACGAGTTGAGCCTGGAAGGCTGATCCTGAGAGCTTGCTGATTATCAGGCCCAACTACTGTCTCCAAGTAGAAATCGAGCCGCAGGTACATCCAAAAAAGGCTGCAGCCTATGTATTGTTCTTTTCGGAATGTGTTTCTGTCTATCTCCTTCGACTTCTGCTCTTAGTCCAACTCTGCACAAAATGTTGCTTTTCTCTCACACCCAATCCTACCCTCTTGACCCTTCCCAATCTCGCCAATGCGTCAGCAACTTTATCCAAAAAGACTCTTTCCTCCTTGTTTAAGGATCCTGGGGAATGTGTATCTTCGGCTACCAATGTTTCCCCGTTGCTCGCTGTGTCTTGCTGCATCGTATCAAAGAAATTCGTCTTGTACGATGATGTCTTTACAGCCGGTCCTGATTCAGAAGGAGCGGTAGAGGTACGGTATACAGCTTCGGCGATCCTGACTCTGATGCAATGTGTAGGTTTGCTACATAGGTTCCATAAAAATGTGCCAAATGATGCGGGGATTGGGGTGGTTATGTCCGGTGCGGTATACCTCAGGCTTACGGGAAACACCTTGGTATTTCGAGGGGCGGTTAGGAGGCTGGGTGCAAAAGGCAAGATGCCTTTTCCGTTGGTGGTGGTGCATTCCGGGAACACCACGATAGGTTGATTTGGGTATTCAGCCAGCATGGTCTGCAGGTTGACTAAGCGAGCATTCGGGTGCGGCGTTTCTTGTGGTGGTAAGAATGCTCGAAGGATTGCTTGGAATAATGTGATTGGCTGTACCAGGCGTGTGGATGGGTACGAAGCAGTAAAGACCGGATCAAAAATCGCTGCAAGATAGAGCGCGTCGATAGGGGATGCGCTCGAAGAGGCAATGATGGTGCCTGGACTTGGTAGGCGACGAGCATTCTGCGCAAGCGAGCTGTGATGGGTCAATCACGATATTCCTTGCAGATGTTGGATATGGCATACCCTTTCTTGACTCCATCGATCTGCAGATCCACCCACCATATTCCAGGTACACCTAGGATCACCCAGAGCGCAGCTTTCTTTGCGAGAGGTCCAAGAGGTAGCCATTGTAAGAATAGGAAGTAGAACGATGTGACCGTGAGCAGTAGAGGCACGCGGAAGGTGAAAAGGAAGATATGGAACGGCAAGGCGATGCCAGAGGCTTCAGTCGGAATAGGTAGGAAAGGAGCGATGCCGGAACCTACGGAGGTGTCAGTCTCAGCGCTTGAAGATATCGATTGAACCGACGGGCGCATACCACGATCCCGATACTGGGAGAACTTTTCCATACCGGCCACGTGTTGCTGCGAGCCGCAGATGTTAACGTGCCAGGGTTGCGAGACCAGATACTGGAGCCATGGAATGTGGAAGCTAATGAGACCGTCGAAGAGTAAAGGAAGGACAGGAAAGGCCTCAATAACGCGACCCATCCACTGTGGTTCCGACCATGACAGCGAGTCCATGACGGGGCGAAATCTCGATAGGATCATTTGGGAGGGCCCCATCCCATGCCGGCGCCGATCACATGTCAAGGTCAAGCGTGTCGTTTACTCGTTTAGTCGTTTAGTCTTTGCGTTCGGTGGATCGGTGGTTGACCCACTCACTGGGCCTATTGTCCCGGACCGAACACAGATCTCATTATATGCTTTCATGCTGCGAGATACTGCACAGTCGCTGCGGGGCGGTAGATTTCGAGTGAACTGCTGCGTAGTCTTGTCGCCAGGATGCGTTTCATGTAGGGGCCGGCCTCTCGTAGCCGCTCGCAAGGGGATCACATGCTGGAAGGACCGAAGGAGGGTAGAAAACTTTGTCAGTATCCAGACGAGTACGGCCAAGTCACCAACATGATACGTGTACAACAGGACTTCGCCCGCGAATGAAGAGTGCTATGTCCAGATCCGTGGCTGGGACATGCCCGTTACACAGCATGCCAGAACAGGGAAGATCAGCTTCTTCATTTTGCTGGAGAACACAGCCAGGCAAGGTAAAGACTCCCGCTGCAAGACAAACTACCACATTCAGACCAGACCAGACCAGACCAGACCAGACCAGAAGCCAAGTTCACCCGTCATGGACCGCCCCTGAAACAATAATCATCGTCCGTCCTTAATCTTCGTCACTGTCAACCTTCTTCTTCCCTCTCGCTGCCCGTTTCCTCTTGGCTGGCCCTCCGCCCCCATCGTCAACATCTTCCGAAGCCGCTCTACCACTGCCACCACCTTTCTTCTCTGTCGGATCCGGCACCTTCTCGATGATCTCTTGTAAAAAGTCAAAGGTCTGATCCTTGATTACCGCCTGTTTGAGATGGGCCGCTGTCACTCTCTTGCTGGATCGATCTCTGGCCTCTGCTGCTGCCTTGGTCACAAGTGCGATCATGAACAATTCGAGTGCTTTCGCTAAGGAAAAAGACGTTAGCAACAACCACATGCACACAAAGTACAACAGCCTAATGGAATGGCATATCGACTTACAAACAGCGGTAGGTGTAGCCTGCGCCACCTTGCCCACATCTTCATCCGCCTGCATGATTCTCTTTATCCTGGCGACCGGGAACTTGGTCTTGATATCGATCCCCAGGGACGGTCCGACCTCACCTGGTGCTCTCCCTGACGTCCATGCTTGATCGTTGTCGGACTTCCTTTTCCTTGAGGACTTGCCACCAGCCCCTCCTACTGACGAGGACTCGGGTGCATAATCAACATCACCACTATCATCATTGTCGTCTGTCTGACCTCGTTTTCTCCTTGATGGCGGCATATTGTGCTGTGGCTGTTGTGGTGGCTGTTGTGTGAGTTGTAAAAGTGAAGATGGAACCGACCCGACCGGTTGTTCGTGAGTAGGAGCGGTGAAGCCGGAGGCCGGGGTTTGCCAAAAGCTTTGCTGTTGCAGGGTCTGGCTGTGTCCGGGACCAACCCTCTCACCACCAGCAGTAGCAGTGGGCGATTGCGTCAACCTCGAATACTCCCCTACAGCCGCACTTGCACTCGCCGTCCCGTATCCAACCGTCTCCCTCCTCTGCACCTGGCCTTGCTGCTGCCCACCAGCCCCTGTGCCACCAATGAGATAACCTGTCTGCCCTGGAATTTGACTCTGTCCCTGACCAAGAGAAAAGCTTCCCTGAGGACTAAAATACGGACTGGCGTCGTAACTTCCCCTATGCGTCACAGGCGGATATGATCCGCTACCAGCCGGTAAACCCGTCAAAGCCGGACCACTACTTCCTTGCCGTTGATGCTGCCAAGAAGAGGAAGAATCTTGATAGCTTGGATGGAAAACAGGTTGTTGCTGCTGTTGCAGCTGCTGAGGAGGTAAGATAAAAGCCGACAGATCTGGAGAGCGGGGTCGGTATGTGGTATTGTTGTTGTTGCTATTCTCGGAGGGCTGTTGCTGTTGCTGTTGCTGTTGCTGTTGCTGTGTGGACGTGGACGTGGACGTGGATGCCGCTGTTATCGCTGCAGTTTTCTGATAATGCTGGTGATTTTCCTGGCTCATTGCTGGGTCTTGAACCCTTTAGCCCAAGGCTAGATCGTTCAGGGAAACGAGGTTATTTGTAAGTGAAGTCTTTTCCGCATCTAAGCGGTAGTGTTGCTTGTCCGCCTGTCCGCCTGTCCGCCTGTCCGCCTGTCCGCCTGTGAAGGCGAGTGCAACAACTGATATGATAAGGCGTGAGTGTTCTGAGGAAGGCCCTGTGCGACTAGTGACTGCACCACGCAGTGCCTGCCCTCACTCTTCCCCCTCCCTCCTTTTGAATTTCCTTCAGTCCTTCTTTCCCTCCTTCCTTTCTTTCCACAGAGCACCCCCTTCGTCAAAGTGAAACAAACAAAAGCCAAACCCCCACCCAACACAAGTCCTTTTTCCTTTCTCCTTCTAAGACTTCAGGCTCTCAACCGGCAGCAGCAGTACTATATAGTACTACTTACTAGTAGTAGCAGCCGCCCAAAGTCTTGGCATCAAAATATCACCTGAACGACAGGCTACTAGTACTAGTAGCGAAAAAGCTTTCTCGGCAAACCTTCCCAGCCCATAGATGGAGCTTCTATTTTTCGGCCCCCAACAACCAAATGCTCAAAACCCGGGGGGCTTCGGCCAGCTTTTGTATTCCTAAACTTTTTGGACAAGCAACCACGACCGCGGGAGATCCGCCACGCTAACTCAAGAACCAGCACAAAAGTTCAAGTTCTTTGGCCCCCCGCGCCAGACAAGCGGGCACCCTTGGCTCGTCTATTTTTCTCCTCGTTTATTTAACTTACTTCTTCTCATCCTCTGTACTTTTCCTTCGCTATGAGGCGATACAGAGGCTAAGGTCAAATGATGATGGAGCGATATTCTTTTCCCGAGACTGCTATTGTTAAATCACACGCCCGTGCTGAGTGAGTAGAGGGTGCGAAGAAACCGATCCGTGAGGATATGGTCTCTGCTGCACGCGACTACGTCGAAGCATGGTTGGTGCGTGTGATGTGTCGATGAAGGAAATTTGGAAAGAAAAAAAATATAATTTTTTTTACTCTTTTCATTTTCAACTTGATCTAATCTGATGACCTGGTCTTGTTCTATTTTGATGTTCTATATCTCTATGATGCTCGGTAGTCTAGTTTGTTAATTTATGGATGACTGCACAAAATGCAGAGCTGCCGCGCAGCTGTTTTCAAGAGGCCGGACTGATGTCGCGACTTCACTCAACTACCCAGTGTATGACTCCGGGTTTTTCCACTTCTCAGGCCAAGTCGTCTTCGGTGAGAGGTACGCCTCCTCGCCCGCATCGTCCTTCCTCGTCATGTTCTTCTTCTGTTTCGGTGTTTCACTCACCTGTTCTTGCACGCCTCCTCCCACTCCCATCCTCTCAACTACCATCTCCACAAGCTGATCCAGACCCTTCAACCTCTCTTCCCTACTACTGCCCAAAAACAAATTAACCACCGGCCAAGCATGGATCCCGCCGGGCTCGCATCTAGTCTCAACTGTCGCACCATCATTCTTCATGTGCCGCATCGTCTCCCCGATCGCTGGCGCGAAAACCTCTTCTGCGCCGTAAACGATGCAATACCCCATGGTCGGGCTGGCGAGTTTCCATCTCCCCTCCGTCAGACCGGGGGAGATGAGGGCATTCCTGGCTGATTCGGCGCCTAGGTATTGCGCGCCGTAGAGCTCTAAGGCGTTGGCATCGAGGTAGTCACTGGCCGTGTTTCGGTTGAGGGGTGAGATGAGATGGGTCCACGGGGAGATCAGCACCGCGAGAGCGGGCTTGCGGGTTTTGTAGACGACGGGCTCTTCATCATAGCTGCCGTGATGGAGGAGTCGGCTGAGGATGAGGGTGGCACCGGCAGAATCGCCGCTCACGCAGATCCGGGACGCGTCGCCCATGTAATCCATCAGGAGCTTGTAGCCAGCGTAGGTCTCGACGAATTGTTGGGGCCAGACGGCGTCGGGCACGAGGGTGTATTCGAGAGCGAAGACGGCCGGGTTCTTGAACCCGCGCTCCCTCAGTCGAGTCATCCACGCAATCAGAAACTCGAGATAGAAGTACGCGGAGCCCATTGAGAAACCGCCACCTGAGCATCCATCATCATCAACCCCAGTACGGGAGTAACTTTATCTACAAATACCCAGAGAAAAGTAGTGGAAATCTACGCACCATGACAGTAATAAACCACCACATCCGGCTTCTCCGCCGACTCACTACCCGCAATCCAGAGACCCCGGATGCCGTTCTTATGCACCTCCTCCACGCTGACAGGCGAGGACCGATACCCATGCCTCAACAAGCGAAAGCGGAAAAAAGGGTACGCCACCTGTTTGGAGAAGAAAACCCGGCCGATCTTGGCGGGCATGTGCGCAAATGCGTACCGGACACAGCGGATCACGATGTCCTGGAAGACGGTGGCGCGCTGCACGAACGGGGACTGCTCGTCTCTTCCCATGAAGTAGTGCTCTTGGATGAACTGGTACGGTAGCTGGAGGACTGCGGAGGGGGGATCTTGTTAGCCTCGGATCTAGCCTTTGTTGGGAGATAGCTCTTTGATCGAAAAGGTAATTGTGTGGTGTGCGTACTGAGGAATGGCAAGACTTTGATCACCGTGAGGAGTGTCAGCCCGAGTCCGGCTTGGTATAGAACTTGGGGAATGAGGAAGAAGACGAAGACGGCGCAGTCGATCAGACTGATCGGTCCGAGAATCATGTCGATGGCGGTGAGACTTAGAAAGGAATCAATGTACGGAGTACTATGCAATATATATAGAGAAGCAGAGACTAATGACCCAAAAAGGTGATGAAATAAATCGTCAAGATATCAGCTGTTCTAGCCGATGAACGCGAAAGGAGTCGAAAGAGAAAGATCTACAAGGTGAAATAGAAGAAGTCTGTTGAGATTGGTCTCCTTATTCGAGAATGAGGTGTACAGAGAAAATCTTGGTGTTGAGCGACACAAATCCCTGATTAGGCAAGTACTGCAAGAATGCCAAGATTGACCAAGTATCGTGAAGTCATCTATTTAAAGGGTTCAATTTAGGTGACCGCAGAATACAACGATCAAATGCACCAAGACAGCCGTTCAGCCCACTCCGAATGGAACATGTTCAAGAAGCAATGCAAGAAGATCTACCGTAATGCCTGATATGAATGCCTTTTCCAACTCCCCTGAGCTGACGCTAAACTATGCAACAGTAAAGCCAAAGATCCGTATACCATATCCCATATCTCATCAAGCCATCCTAGGCGGTCAAAGCTGAACTCACACCCAGAATGCCCATTCCCAAAAAAGCAAACCCAATACACACGTTTTTGTTGTGAGTCAGCCCCAGACTTTCGCTGAACAGTTGCAAAGCAACGCTGGCCATCACACCAGCCGTGATAGCAAACATGCATCCATACACATCCTCGCTGGGCCTCCCGACTCCATCCGATCCCCTGGCTACCTTGAACCAGATAGCCGCAATACCCGCACCCAGTGGCTGTGACACCCCACCAAGGAATGACGACCATATTATCGCCTTGGTGCGTGACTGCAGGGCTAGATATAACGGTAGAGCCATGGCAAATCCCTCGGTGATGTTGTGAATAAACAATGCCATGAATACGGCAAACCCCAGTTTGGGGTTGGCATGATTGGTGGCGTAAGTGATGAAACCTTCGGGAGCCTTGTGCAGGGCAATAGCAATCGAAGTTTGCAACCCAATACTGAGGAACGCGTTGGTAGGAACATGATGGTGATGCTCTGGTTTTGGGTCCCCTTGAGAAGAACCATTAGAAGCACGACGGCAGCCATCCGGTTTTACAGGTTCAGTGTGCTCTTTGACAGGATGGTGATAGTGATGAATTGCAGAGCGGGTCTGTTCAGAATGAGGCCTATCACTCCCACCAGTTCTTGTACGAGACCGACCGGTGGGTGCCCCTCCTTCATCCGCCTCTGGCACCTGTGGCGCATTTTGGAGATTGCTGAAGGCCAATTGCGTGCGTTGAAACGTCGTTTGCCGAGAGGGAGCGCTGTTTGGTAAGCCGGAGTGTCGTCGAGTGACTGCCTTGAAGCAATCTTGCCCACATGGATCAGAGAATCCTCTGCATGGACCGGTTTCATCGCACTCTACCTTTGCAGAGGCAAACTTGCTGAATGTTCTTGTCAAGCTTCGTGGAACCAGAGTTGGTCTGCGGCTGGAGGGAGCGGTCACAAAACCATTGGCCGACGGTTGCCGCGTGTTGGTGTCTTCCGGCGCAGAAAATTGACGCCGCTTTGGTGGACTGTTACTTGTATTTCTCGACAACAGGGGAGTCTCCTCGTCATCCCCGTCCTGCGTGAACCTGAGCTTTGGGAGAGACTGATCAAGAGTAGTATGAGAGTCATCATGAGCATGCTGTTCCATCTCCTCCTGCAAGTTGCCCTCTTCCCCGTCATGCGTGTGATCGCAGTCCACGATATGGGTCGGGATGAAGTGATGCATGGCCCGTGAGAGGAGTTGTATGCCAAAAACGCCGGCGAGGAAAAGTCCTATGAGAAGGTACGAGGCTGGCTGCGGAGCAAAACCCCCAGATAACAGGTACCGCTTTGCGCTTGGTAGCATGCTGTAGAGTGAGGAGAATAGCTGTAACGAGTCAGTCAACATTTACCGAGCACGACGACAGCTCACGTACCATCACACCGAAGCTCAGACTCAACGAAGCGGAGAGAAAGGTATCACTGTCCTCGATTTGAAAGTTTCGGTATCTTGGGATCAGTCGAGCGATAACATCGACACAGATAATGCTGGCACCGCACACGCATGCTATGTGAACCACAGTCAGGATATTACCCTCATAGATAGCAGGAAGTGCATACCGATGCCGCTGATGCCTGTCATTATCCATCCCCTGGTATCATTGTCGAGGACCATCTTGGCGGCAGGTCAATCGCCGCGGGCGGCTGCGAGCTGGTGATGGTGAGCCCAAGCATGCAAGTTCAGATATTTCCGAGCAGCTACTCCAGCGATAGTGTAGGTATGGAGGCGGTAAAGAAACGAGGGAGAATGGGCTGGATGTGAACAGTGAAGGAGGATCTCTCTTGACTTGCGGAGGGTTTGGGTGGCAGCTGCACCAACGACGTACTACATATGCACGATATGATAATGCCTGATTGGGGTAAGCCGAAAGCGGCTTGGCTGAATTGGTGGCTGACAATCAAGGTCCTCAAACTCAGCACGGAAAAAAGAATTAGCGCGCCGGACTTGGTTTGGCTTAGTTAGGTACTATTACACGTGACGGCTTAGTCACGCACGCGGGCGCGTGCCAATACCTTAAATTATTAAGACAATGATTAAACCCCATGATCGATTGATGGAGGATGCAGGACGCCTTTCAATCACGCTCAGGCTACTACAGCATGCTCTGACATTTCTCCCTCCTCCTCCCTTCCCCTTCTCCGACTGCGTCTTACAATCACAATGTCCAAAACCACTCTGGCAATCGTCGCAGCCGCATCAGCCGCTACAGGCGCCTCCATAACAGCCTTCCTCTACTCCTCCAGACCCAAACAGTACTCCACCCCACCATCCGCAATAAACTCTATCCCACGTCCTCCTCCCACCTCCACCTCCACCACCTCCGCCTCCCCTCCCGTCCCCGGTACCATTCCCTCCTCCGCACCCCTCCCCATCCCTACCTCCCCCGTCAACCCGTCCGGGATCCTCCAATACGGCTTCCCGGGCCCCTTCACCGACCTCCACACCACCCCCTCGCACCTAAGCACCTACAACCGCGCCCTGCGGACGCCGCACTTCGTCGCCGAACACATCACGGCGACGTCGCTGCTCCTCAACAACGG